ACCTGTGACAGAGACGCTGAGAAGTGCGCGTTTGGGATGGTATGGACACGTGATGAGACGAAATGAAAATGAGGTTGGTAAGAGAATGTTAACTATGAATGTGGAAGGACATAGAGGAAGAGGTAGACCTAAGAAGAAATGGATGGATTGCGTAAAAGACGATATGTATAAGAGGGGAGTGAACGAATAAATGGTATGTGATAGAGGAGTATGGAAGGAGAAAACATGTTGCGCCGACCTCAGGTGACTGGGAGAAGGGCAGGATAATGATGAGTAGACTATTGATAACCGTAATAATCCTTTAATATTTATTTGAGCTAATTCAAAATTTTAATTGATTTCACTCGATATCTTGTCTGATATTTAACGCTGAATAAGGATTTAAACACTAATTAATTAATCAAACGAGATTTGCAGGTTTGACGGCACTTGGAATTGGTTTATAATTGAGTGATCCATGCTTATTCGACAGGGACGTACTCAGGACGAAATGGTCGGGTTGAGAGCATGTAAAATTTAACAGAACTAGAGTAATAATTCATGCTACGGTTTTTTGATGCTTTCAAACGAATTATTAGAAGAATTCGCTTAATTTGGAACAAGAAGTAGACTTCCTGTAGTGGAAATTATAATTTTTTTTGCTGTCCTAATCAGGCGAGCATACGGCACATCTGATGGTAAGTGGTTACCGTCACTAGTAGACGTCAGAAATACCAGGAACACAGCCAAGCCCCTGCCTACCGTAGATTTCATTTATAACTTCAAAATCACCACCGACAATAGTTTTTGAAGTTACTTAAACAGTTAAAAAGCCGTTACCTTTATTATAAAAAAGGTTAATAAAAAAAAGGAGAAAAAATAACCACTGGTCGTACAGCCATCAATATTAATATCTAAAGATTTTTTTATTACATCTAATCTGACGTCATAACCCTTAGCGTAGTAAGTGGAATCCAGTAAGCTTAATTAAAAATTTTAACCTCATCGATGTTCAATTGCGAGATCCAAAGAACGGCGCAGAAAGCAGGTATGCAGACTTGTCAGCGCCTAACATTCTACCCTCAGTTCTTGGTCTGTGTCATGGTGAGGAGCTTTATGGTGGTCGCTACAGACAATATAATAATAGCGCGATGAGTTAGACAGAGAGAGAGCCCACTGAGTTTCTCGCCGGATCTTCTCAGTGGGTCGCGTTTCCGATCCGGTGGTAGATTCTGCGAAGCACTGCTCTTGCTAGGGCCAGTGTTAGCAACGCTCCCGGTTTGAGCCACGTGAGCTCACTTACACGTGAAGAGAAGCTGAAATAGCCTCTCAAGGCTAACAGCATAGATAGAAAAAAAAATTGGGAGAGAGATTTCCATGGATTTTCTCCAATTACTTTCCTATCTTCTTTCATAGAACACTTCTCAACACTTTCACTAAGGCATTCTTATTGAGCAAACTCAAATATAATCAAAGCCTTCAGTTCGCGCGGACTAATTAAACAATAAAATGCTTTTCATTAAATTTTTGCGTTAAATTTAACTTTACGAAGTAACTCAAAAGGAAAATCGGATCAAAGGCTAACAATTGAATTACAAATGCTGAACCCCCTTTAACCAATTTTAATAAGTGTTCTGAATTAATCAATGTCGGAAATGGCGGACGGATAAAAATGGAATGGATTTGATGCCACTTTGACCACTTACTCAATTGATAAGGATGGTTTTGCATGGGCGCAAAACGAAGTTACAGTCCGATGCTTGTAAATGGTGCTTCTTCATCATGTGGCACTCAGAATACCAATCAATTATTTAAGCCAGCGCTTATTCAAGACAGGTCTGAGCAGTTATTCGACGGGATTGCAAGTCCACTCACCGATTAATCAAAGTTAAGATTAATCGATGACACCTTGCTTCTTCCCAGATATCTGATTGATCAAGATTATTTTGAACAATGTGTCGTGTTTTCAACAAACGCTTCGCAAGAAAGATAGGCTTTTATACCAATACGCATGCCCACAAAACGGCTGCCTATTCATATATATATTTGTCGGAGACGGTCATTAGTTTGGTAGCTAAACGAAACGCAGCGCGATTCCCGAGAGATGGCAGCACGATTGCGGTATCGTCGGAACTCGGCTAACGTTGCGCTACGACAGCTCACACTTACCAACCAGCCTTCTTGAAGAGCGGTGCCTCCGTTCTAAGAACTGTCATTCGTTTTCGTTTGCTAACGTCAAGAGAAGATTGCTAAATTGTTCTAAGACAACAAACGTGATTGTTGTACTCAATATTTCTCTTAGCTCGATCACCCTATTCGCACCTACAATGTCTGACGATGGTGTTAATAATTGTGGCTTCTCAGACATATAAAAATTCACCCAAGTGGATTCCGAGTGCGTCCCTGGATTGTACACGTGCCGCGAAGACAACTCGGTTAAATCGGTGTATACCATTAATTACACGTGTCAACTCGAATGTGTGCTTAATAGAGAATTCATGAATTTACGTCCTTAAAGAGATATCTTTGTCACTGTCTAATTTAATTCAGAGGACTAAAGTTTGACGTTGGACTATAGTTTTTTTTTTATCGCTACATACTTTACGCTGCTTAATTTGTTTTGCAATCTAATTTCCCTTCTAGGATGTATGTATGCATATACGTCGTAAGGCGAATCTTCTTCTTCTTCAACCCGTGGCCACCTGAGTGTAGGTTTTATAGGCAGCAGCTTGGTTCTGCCCCTGGCATTGCTGAAGTCCATGGGCGACGGTAACCACTCACCATCAGGTGGGCCATATGCTCGTCTGCCTACCAGGAAAAAAAAAAGGTTTCTTCAAAATAAGGCGAATAATTACAAAAAAGATGTGTGTTGTCGTGGGACACCGGATAGGAACAAAGTTCCTTATTATAAATATATTAATTTTAAGCTCTATTCGAGGTATAAAAAAATAATTATTCGGTTATATATTTTTATTATGATTTTTTTATTGATAAAAATAAATAAAAAACTACTTTACAAAGTTATCAACTTTATTTTATTCACAATGATTTATAAAAAGTATATAATAAAAATATGTAATTTTTTGCACGTTATTACAAAGTTAAGTTGTACACTGTGTGCATTTCTAATAAAAATCTTACTTACGGACGTTTTTTCCCGGTTAGGGTACCCGTCCGCATCGCCCATAAGGAACTTCGTTCCAAAAAAAATAATTGATTATATTACAATCCAAAGTTTAAAGTGCAACCCAAAGCTTGAAAAGGATTAATGTTGAAATGTTTTCAACTTAATGTATGCAAAGCCGAGCTTGAGCAGTCATCGTTTGAGGTTAATCACGGAATTAGTTTTATGGGTATCTGCAAACCCTCTTACTTGATGATAGATTTATTCACAATTTGGACCGTTCGGATGGACGGATTAACACTTAACATGTTTATCTACACAAAACACACTTAATATATTTACATAGAACTCGTATATATGAATATAAAGCTTCCCGTTTATTATTAGAGATGGTGCTTTATGTAATGTTGCTGGCTCCTAAGTAAAGTCCTCCCAGATAGATCATTTAGGAAACCACTGCAGCTCAGGCCGAAAGAGAGATTGTTAAAAAAGAAAAGTAATTTTGTTGCGAATTTCCCATCACTTCTTCTTCTAATTTTTTAAAAAAATTTATTGCGCAGATCGGTGGACGAGCTCACAGCTCACCTAGTGTTAAATGGTTAACGGAGCCCATAGACATTTACAACGTAACTCACCTTGAGATATGAGTTCTAAGGTCTCAGTTTATTTACAACGGCTGCCCCACCCTTCAAACCGAAACGCATTACTGCGTCACGGCAGAAATAGGCTGAGTGGTGGTATCTACCCGTGCAGACTCACAAGACATTCTACCACCAGTAAAAAAGCATATTGTCTGGATAACTATTATCTAAGATTCTTGTCTTTTCGACAGACATCGTGGACACAGAATATATGATACATATGTCCAACCTATTACTTAGTCTGGCCATAAATACTGTTACAATTAAAACTGTTTCAGTATTCTTATACAATTATTAAATACAATACACGAAAGGCGACTCAATCCCTTATGACTGTGTCAAACGAAAATCGAGGCCCGACAGAGCCTTATTTTGGTCTCGCACAATACAAGTTAATACCCAGAGCCTTATTTTGGGTCAGATTACTCTCAGCCTCCGACCGAATGGGTATTAGCAGCTTATACAGACGCGTATTACACACCCAGACATTAGAACAGATAATCCGCTTTTTTAAGAATGAGAATCGAACCCACGTCGCTCAGCTCAGCAGTAAGCTACTACGCTATTCGTTTAACCTTGATAGAGAGTACCACACAACCATCCAGGGTAGGCTGCGGGTTAGCGGAGCCTCCGGCATTTCTGACGTCGTATGCTCGTCTGCCTACAAGGGCTTTTACTAGTATTAGGACTTCTTGTGAGTCCGCGCGGGTAGGTACCACCGCCCTGCCTATTTCTGCCGTGACGCAGTAATGCGTTTCGGTTTGAAGGGTGGGGCAGCCGTTGTAACTATACTTGAGACCTTAGAACTTATATCTCAAGGTGGGTGGCGCATTTACGTCGTAGATGTCTATGGGCTCCAGTAACCACTTAACATCAGGTGGGCTGTGAGCTCGTCCAACCATCTAAGCAATAAAAAAAGGGCAATAAAAAATATACGCAATTAATAAACTATAATCTTTTAGCAAATTGTGAGCCCGTAGGTATGCCCGTATGTACCACCGTCCTGGAGACTTGTTTCAAAGCAAGATTCATTCAGCAGCGATATAAAAAGTTGGTCATGAATTCGACTCTATCTGTTATTTCAGTGGGCTCACGTGAACATGAAACCACAGATGGGTCGTGAGCCTTCCTACCTAAACAGTACAATAAAATAATATAAATAATATGGAAGACAGAAAAGAAAAATATTGACATTAAAAGAAATTGATAAAAAACTTCACTAACATTATTATACAACTAGAGCCATCTATCCTCAGGCGCGGTCAAAGCTTCCTAAGAAACGGAGGCGAGTGCTACCAGTTGAACAGCCTCGAAGGAAACGCGACGCCAGCGCCTCCAATCGACGCGTCAATGCTGTAAAACACCCGGTCGTAATTAAGGAGTTTTCGCCGGGAGCTAATAAATTTGGTAAGTCTTCACGAAAATGTCCATAGATGGCGCTGTTCGCAAAATCTCGGTTTCGAAATACTTCGAGAAAATCTTCATAGATGGCATGCAAGTTCGATTCAATGTTTGAGTTTGAGAGGTTTTATGTGCTTTTAAATAACTTACACAAAGTAATTTTAGTAAAAAAGTCAGGCTTGAATAGCAGTGTTATTTACATACAATACTCATTATAAAGCATCAAACAAATACTTATTTTTTAGTAAATTCACGTAATTCATAAAACCTCATTGTAACAGTGACATTACATCCGCTTGGGAAGATGTAATTCATTTCATATATCTCAAATCATCGATTTAAGTCCATAAGTGTACGTAATATACACTCATGTACGCTCATAAATTCTATCAAAGGATGCCCAGTTTGTTAGTGGTAGGAATGATGACAGCTCTTTCGTCAGATGCTCATTCGTCTACCTATAATTTATACAAACTACTGGTGGTAGGACCTCTACTGAGTCCGCACGGGTAGGTACCACCACCCTGCCTATTTCTGCCGCGAAGCAGTAATGCGTTTCGGGTTAAAGGGCGGGGTAGTCGTTGTAACTATACTGCGACATTAGAACTTATATCTCAAGGTGAGTGGCGCATTTACGTTGTAGATGTCTATGAGCTTCAGTAAGTACTTAGCACCAGGTAGGCTCCGAGCTCGTCCACCCATCTAAGCAATAAAAATAAATAAATAAAAACGTTTATTATTTATTAAAATACGTTTTTAATTTTCCTAAAAGGAAATCTGGAATTAATTTATTTCTATTTTACCATTTCCAGGTGTGAATGGAATGAACATGATCAGTCTGGCTCTGCAGGGTCCACCAAACCTCCTGCGGCCGCCTTCAACCCAGCCCCTCCAAGCTAGGGCTCCTATTGGTAAAGCACAACTTTTTATGACACCAAATATGTATAAAGAACTTTAAGCTATACTTAAGGGATAGCACTGGATTGTATTGCGAATGCAATAAACATATTTAAATAATAGATTATTTAAATACCACCAATAAGAATTCGTGATTTAAATTTTGTATTATGAATAAAATAGAATAAATCATTCACTCAATCAAATAATCATATAATGATGAATTGTCTTAAAGTATGTCATTTAAATTTATTCATTACAGTCGAAATTTTTGAGTAAAAAGAAAATTTTATCCCAACTTTGATTACGAACGGAAAAAAATATAATTTGTTACATTTAAGTTGAAACATTAAAATACAAAAGTCAATAGGGAAATTTTGGGAACGAAAAAATCCTTCGACTTTCGCTAAGGCCAAAGCGTTTTCATTTCGATGCATAAAATTAAACGACAGTCAACTATTTTTATATTCTATAATATTTTTTCTATGTTGTTCAATTAATTTCCTTCTTTTTGTTTTATTTCACCTACCATTTTATAAACTCTGATTAAATCAATAAAAAACGGAAATATATATATTTTTCAAAATGTCGTTGATTAAACAAAGGCTTTGTAAAACTCTATTCGTATTTACTACAAAACTTTTCCACCCTTTTAATAATATTCTGAGTCACTCATTAAAAACCAATTAAAGAGTACTAACATTAATTCCCATAATCCGATTTTAATGCACGATAAGACAATTCTCCTCTGTTTTCCAGTTGAAAGTCCTATCATTCACACACAATCGGGGGCGATATCTTTGGCGTCTCTGCAACCGCCTCTCCTGACCGCACCGCCCCTGCAACCACGCCCTGCAACCACCGGCTCCTTAGACCTCATGCTGCCGCTACAACCGAAACTACTTCCAGGCTACAACCTGCAGTCTTCGTATCTCTCGAACACACTCTCGACAGTTCGACCGCCAGATTTCGATAAAGAAAAAGAGTTCAAACCGAAAGTAGAGATAATAGTTGAAAAAGTAGAGTCGATCGATAGTGACAGTAGAGACAGTGAAAATAATTGTGTCGATAGTGTTTGTAAGGACGAAGTCAATAATGTTATTGATAGTAGAACGACGAATAATTACAGAGATAACGAGAATAGTCCTAATAATAACTGCTAATGGTTGCGTTGTGTTGTGAATATCGAAGCCAGTAATAATATTTGCGCTGTAATCAAAACAGACGGTTATAGAACATGGCGAAGAATGGCGATAATTAATTTAATATTTGAAACGATTCAAATCCCGATGAATGTAAATAAACTGAAGATAATGCGCGTAATAGAGCACTTGGTGTTTAGAGCAATTCTAAACATAAAGTTTTTATTACTATTTTTTGAATTCTGAAATAGAATAATAATTTTGACAACACAGTCATTGTAAATCAATCAACAATTCAGGTCGGACGTGCACGTGTTGTATGTAACTAATTAAAATAAAATAAAAATAATCTTCTCTCTGAATATATCTAATTATTGAAGCGACCAGCACAAAATACAGTCCACGCTCTACACACTTGGTACTCAAACACCCTATATATTTACATATAAGTTCAAGTCGTCACTCATGAATACAGAAATGTTAGAGGCAAGCCAGGGTGCCGCTTTTAGCTAAGATGTCTTTATTCTCCTGCTACATTGGGTAGAATTGTGCATAAGTTCGTTTAAACGCCGAGTGACTAGTGGATAATAAATTTTAAATAAACTGGCAATTCTCATTGTAGTCCCAAAATAGACTGGTCTGGTAAAAGATGTTAGTAAAAAAAGATCGGGCTCCACATAATTATTCACCTATATTTTTCCTATAATGTATTCGTTGTAGATGAACGAAATACGAGGATCTGTATCTCTATAAGTAACATCGCAACGATATATATATGAAAATCAAGCTAAGTAATAACATTATATACTTAGTAAACGCTTAAGCGGCGTAAATAAATAGGAAGCGTCTTGGCTCTGACCCTGACATCGCTGACGTCCATGAGCGACGGTGACCACTTACCATCAGGTGGTCTGTATGCTCGTCTGCCTACAAAGGCAAGATTTTTTTTTTTTTCATGAAAATGTTGAAAAAAGTATCTTAGGTCCGATTCCTCTTTTCTACTAATGTCGCGTCGTGGTCATTTGTGAAGCAGGTGCGGTATAAGACTCAGTTGGATTCAAATAGAAGTCAAACTACTATTTAATTCGATAATCTATAAATTTGTGGCCGAAGAAAAATAGTGATCTCCCCTCGCCCTCAGGGTACCTTAATACGTTCTAGGACTGATGAACAATATGAATCACCTACTTATTTAAATCTTTCAAAAATGTTTACTGGCTCACCTTTTTACATATGTTAATACGTACAAAAGATTAACAAATATAAAGTATATACCTATAAAACCCCATACTATTCGAATACAAATCAAGTTACTTGAAATATGAGAAAATTTAGTTTTGTTAATAAATTGTAAGATAAATCGAATTAATTGTAGAATATCTAGTCATAGAAAAATGTGTCAAATTTTAATATTTACTGTAATGAAGTGTTTTGCTGTTTTTTGTTTGTATTGTTGAAAGGAAAATAAACCTACTGTTTCATATTTTAAATACGTATTTCGAATTAGAAGAAGATGGCTGATTAAGTACCTAATTAATAAAAAAACAAAAAAAGATGTGTGGTGTCGTGGGACACCGGATAAGAACGAAGCTCCTTATTATAAAAATATTAATTTTAAGTCTATTCGAGGTATAAAGAAAATAAAACTGGAAGTTTCGCAACAACCCTTATTGTGGTACACTTCATTCACGATCGTTTGCATAAGAGTTAGTGTATTGCACAAACGAACGCTCTGAGATCGTGGTCAATGAATGATAAAAAATATTATGTTATTTTTTGTACGTTATTACAAAGTTAAGTCGCACGCTGTGTGCATTACTAATTTGTACGTTATTACAAAGTTAAGTCGTACACAGTGTGCATTACTAATAATAATCTTACGTTACGGACGTTTTTTCCCAGTTAGGGTACCCCTCCGCATCGTCCCATAAGGAACTTCGTTCCGAAAAGCATTCAAATCAAGATATATGTTGTAAGCTGTCTGTTTTCAATACGTCACTACACTTTTTTGTCCTTGCCTAATTGTAATGAACAAACAGTTTAACGAACTAAAATCAATAGTAGTTTAAAAAAACTAACAGAAATACGCTTTTTATAGAAAATCTAACTAAAAAATAGAAAATAAATTTTAATAAATTTGAATTAAAAATATTGTAAGAAAAAATGATTTTATTGTAAAAAAGCGTGGGGTGCTTTTCAGGAAATATCTTGAAAAGGTTATTTTGAGAATACTCAACCCTTCTACTCATATATGTTCATAAAATATTTATAACTACTGATACCATGCACCCCACGCTTTTTTTACAGTAAAATCATTTTTTCTTACAATATTTTTAATTCAAATTTATTAAAAATTTTAAAATTAGTTTTCTATTTTTAGTTGGATTTTCTATAAAAGCGTATTATATTAGTTTTTTTAAAATACTATTTATTTTTCATGTTTTAGTTGAATTTTTTATTTTTATTTTTTTTAAATATGGTATTGTTATCGGTCCCTAATAAGTATACCAAATTTCGAGTTAATCCGACGTTTTGAAGAGGGTCAAAATCATGTTCAAAGATTCCGTTACAAACATACATACATACGTCTGAAGCTAATAAAAGCGTATTAATTACACTTTCTTCTTTAGGCATATGTTATGAGAAATACCCAATCTTAGTCTATTAAAGATGTGATATTGCCACAAATTAGTTTTGAGTGAAAAAGCGGTGCAAGTAAAATCAATATTGTTAGTTTTAGCGTATTTAAAATGTCTCTTGTTCACCACTGCCCTTTTTTTTTTTTAACGCTGGGGTATCCATTTACGGATACCTGGTCGAGAGGGGTAATAGACCGGGCTATGTCGGACTCCGGCGCTTCCAGAGAAGAAGAGGGAGAAGAGGAAGACCACTGGTAGTAGGACCTCTTGTGAGTCCGCGCGGGTAGGTGCCTATTTCTGCCGTGAAGCAGTAATGCGTTTCGGTTTAAAGGGTGGGGCAGCCGTTGTAACTATACTGAGATCTTAGAACTTATATCTCAAGGTGGGTGGCGCATTTACGTTGTAGATGTCCATGGGCTCCAGTAACCACTTAACACCAGGTGGGCTGTGAGCTCGTCCACCCATCTAAGCAATAAATAAATAAATAAAAGTCCTCCTCTTCTTCCAATTCCTACCGGGAGACTACTATTACCGTTAAAATGGTGTCGCATTACCAATAATCTACCTAAATCTAATTTCATATTTCAATGAAATTTAATTGAAATTCCTGCCAAATTATAAAAACAAGCTTTCGCGAATCTCAAGTGATATTTAATTAAGAAAAAAAAACTTTTTAATCCCCGCAATGTGCCAAAATGTAGATAGAACTTAAAATAGTTTTGTGAAATCTAGTCTCTAGTGAAAGCGGTTGTTTGAAATTAGTAATTTACTGTTAGTGATTCTATTATATTTGCGTTGAAGCACTTATTATTACTGAGTCGTCTATTATCAAAGGTGGCAATCTGTGCATTTGGACAAAAAAATGTTATTGATATGTCAACACAGATTGATTTGAATATAATCGTCTCCTTCAAAGAATACGTTTCAAAACCTGCATTAAATAAAGTATTAACTTAACCTGTTATTTATCTAAGATGTCGTTCCGAAGAGTTTTGTGACTGCCAATGGAATACAAAGTCAATAATTCGTTTTTCTGATTTACCAATAATTGTCCAAAAGTCACACGGCCGGCTTTGATAATAGTCGACTCTACTAAAAGATGAATGCGATCTAATTTAAGGATCTAAGTACACACATACATATAAGATTATTAGGTATGTTGTTTTATTTATATGTATTATATGTTTATTAAAATAAAACTTCAATGTGTTGCTCCGAAATAACAAAGAAACGACATTTAGAGTTTATTTATAATCTTGTTAGAAATTATTTTTCATAAAATTTTATACAATGACATAATATTTATCTGTCAAGGCTTCTCCACTTAACAGCACATGCGCGGACGTTCCGGCACATGTCGACAGCGCATGCGTGACATAATTAAAATTAAAGAAAGGAATAACTTTCTTTACATACATATAAAGTTCGTATAATCTAACACACTCCAAGTACATATAAGACACGCTGAAGTACTCAAGTCATTCAAATAAATTAGCGTACATTATTTATTGGATTAATTGTCAAGTTGTTGATTTTGTTACAGTAATTTTTTTATATAAAATGTAAAATAGTAAAGTTTAACGTGTCTACATAATTTAAGAACAGATATTACATTAATCATTAGTAATTATTATATTTTAAACGCTATCTTTGTGTATATAGCTATATGTTTTTTTATTGTCCTTGTAGGCAGACGAGCATACGGCCCACCTGATGATGTGTGGTTACCGTAGCCCATGGACTTCAGCAATGCCAGGGGCAGAGCCAAGCCGCTGCCTACCGATGTATGTATGATGTATATATATTGTTAACTTATTCTATGATATTTTGATATTCAAACTCAATGCAACTTCAACACATAATACGATTTCCTTAGATTATTCTTGTCTATGATAGCTATCTGTTTTAAACAATAGGTAAATAGAAATTCCAATGTAGAAGAATAAAGCCAATTTACAGAAAAAAGTAAGAGCCAAACACGAGTCCGCATAAGATTCTTTCTAGTATTATCGTTCGTCTGCAATGGATATTAGGAATGGCACAGATGAGATACAACTCAAAAATACAAAATGCGTTTTTAATTTTTGGCTTTCATATTTGTCCATTTAGTATCAACGCGCTACCACAGCCCAGGGCGACTACAACGTGATCACCACCAGCGATACGAAGTTATATATGAACCTCGATAATCATTTTTTTCATTGCCCTTTTAGGCAGATATTACATTAATCATTAGTAATTATTATATTTTAAACGCTATCTTTGTGTATATAGCTATATGTTTTTTTATTGTCCTTGTAGGCAGACGAGTATACAGCCCACCTGATGGTGAATGGTTACCGTCGCCCATGGACTTCAGCAATGGCAGGGGCAGAACCAAGC